CTTCACGGGCGGCCGCGGGAGCAGCGGCAAAGGCGGGCGCGCCGGGGGCCATCGCATCTTTAGCAACCACCACCACCGACTGCCGCTGAAGGGGGGCCCGGCCGCCGGTCCCGGCCTCGCCGCCGAGCCCGACAAGTGCCCGGCTCACTTCCCTGTGCACGAGTGCGTCTTCAAGGGGGACGTGCGGCGGCTCTCGGCGCTCATCCGCACGCAGGGCATCGGCCAGAAGGACAGTCACGGTGAGTGTCGCAGCCCCGCGGGGCAGAGCCTCTCCGGGCCTCAGTGCCTCGCACCCCCGCTCCGGCCCGGCCCGGCCCCTGTGCGCGGGTCCAGCCCTGGGGAGAGAAGCGGAAGGGCAGGGATATGGGCAGGTGTTGCCCCTTCCTTTCTCCCGTAGGCTTCAGGAGAAAAGTTCCCGCCCATGTCCATTGGGTAAATGCTGACAAGGGGAAGCTCCCCAGCAGCCTGGACACTAGATAGACTGGGGGGAATGCAGGGAGGGGGAGGATTTCCATCCTGCTCTTCATATAGAGGCCCCCATGCTCGTCTGGCCCTCTGTGCTGTGGGCTCCTGTGTCTGCTTCCTTCCCCTGGGGGGGGAAAAAAACTTTAAATGAAACATGTGGCACCACAAGATCAGCTGGTTTAAGTTTCTTGATATCTGTTTCTGGATTAGGCAGAAGCTCCTTATTGCTTGAATGTCATGGAGATGGGGCTGTCCAAGGGGGACCCTGAGGAGGGATGCTGCTCCTGAAGGCCCTTCTCTTTTTTTTCAAGCTAGGGTAGTTATCATGGCCAACTTATCCTTTCAGTGGAGCGGAACTGCCAGTTCAAATTGCACCCGTCTCCTTGATGCTCTCTAGCTTGTTGATTTGTAGTTATAATTGGTGGGTTTGTACAGGTGGGTTTTGTTTATGCACTTTTATCTTGCCTGTCCCATTTCTAGTGAATTGTGTTCAGGGCTTCTATGGTGAAGTTTGTCAGGTATAAATTGTTTCATCCGTCCTGTTCCTAACTTGGGATAAGATGAGTCCTGACATGGTTCCTTTACCACCCGTATTCCTTACACAAGTGACAATTTGGCATGGGATCTGGGCAATAAGCGACAGATATATTTGAAAGATGGCAGTTACCTGTAGACATTCAAGCTTCCTGAAGCTTGCTGATGAAAATTGCTTTAATGCATGCTTGTGCTCTAAGTCTCTACTTCATGAGAACTAAATATCTAAAGGTTATCGGAGATCTCTTTTAATTATTGGTATTAAACACTGGAAGTCTTTTAATTTTAAAAAATTTAAAAAATTGTCAAGTCAAATGTGAAAATACAGGTAAGAAGAAGGCAGACAAGGTTCTTTGAGTACATGTGATCTCTTATTAGACCAACTGAGTAGTTGGAAAAAAGTTCTTAGCAAGCTTTTAGATGCAGTCCCCCTTCTTGAAGCACAGGGAGTCTCTGCTGTTCTGAGACTCCAAGAAAAAACTCAGCTAAGAAGAAGGAAATGCAGAAGCAGTGTTTAAGGGTAATTTAGAATTTTCTGCTCTTGTGTGACTGTTGGAAAGTTTATTTTAAATTACTAACCATTTATTGTAGACTAGAAAGTAAAAAAAACAGCATGTGCCACATGGTTCAGCTGAATTTAAGCAGTGACACTGAGATTTCAAGAGTAGTGTTTGCTTTGCACTGACACTTCTTATTTCATAGTGTTCTAGCATTTTTATGTAATATTTTGTTCTGTCTTGCAGCACTATCTTGCTTGACAATTTGCTGTAGAATGTACAAAATAACAGGACCTTGGGATCTAAAGTAAACACTGAAACTGATCCTCATTCTCTGATTTTTAGGAGATGAAACCCCCACAAATTCCCTGATTAAAAACCCCCAAATCCATGTTTTTTCCACGATTAAAATAAAATGCCCCTATATATAGGTATCAGTAGAACAGCATGTTTTATTGATGTATTTAGCCCACCAGTGCCTCAATCCCTATAATAAATTCTAAATACCTATAAGTTTTGGCATTCGATTTTTTTGGATTTCTTATCATGAAATATCAGAGCTCCCACTGGCCAGTTTGTTCACTAGGACAAGGGTTCAGCTGCCTACCCACACACACCCCCTAGCTTCCAGGGCTATGGCCAGGGACCCAGGTTGGCAGCCTCCTGCCCTCCACAGCAGCACCCAAGCCCCATCTGCTGTGTGTGGGTGGCTGCTACGGAGGAGTGGAGCATGGAGCCTGACTTCCTCTCCCCTGTGGGTAGCATGGCCCGAACAGAGCCCATCGGGGTGGGGGGGCCAGATATGGGCTCCCCACTGCACGCTTGGGTTCTTTGCCCTGCTGCCCTCCCCCCAGGAACTCTACAGCCTAGTGGACAAGACCTGGTGTGGTAGGGCAGAATTGAGTGTGGAAGCTCGATGCCGCTGCTGCCAGCCTTGCAGCACCTACTGTGGTGGTGTGGAGTTGTGGCCCTCACTGCTGCTGGCCAAGCAAGGGGGCTCCTCGCTGTGGTGGTGTGGGGCTTGCAGTGGCAGAATCGAGCCTCCCTGCTTTGCCCTGCCAGGCTGCAGAGGCCCCAGGGGGAAGGCAACAGGGTGGGGAGCCCAAGCCCATAGTAGGCAGCCCGCATCTACCTACACTCCATGCACAAATCTGGGGGGCACGTGCGTGCAGAAGTGGGAAGTCAGCCCCCCAGGCGAGCCGCCCATGGCCCCGTCCCGCTCACCTCCCAGGCCGTGCAGCTGTGCATTCTGGCCCTGGACCCCAGTCCCCATGCACTGCCCAAGCCCTGTCCAACTCCCTCATGGGGGCCTCAATTTGCCATCCACCCCCACCAGACTTGCCTGTGGGAGTTGCTTTCCAGGCCACCTGGCAGCCATATGGTCCCTTCCTACCCTAGAAACTATGAAACATGCATGTGGTGCCCCTTGCCTGACTGTCGTCCTCTTCCCTCTCCCCAGCCACTTGCAGCGTGGAACTCTGCCAACCTTCAAGGGGAAACCCACCATTTCTTGCATGTTTCTTCTTTACAGGAGAAAATCTGGGTTTAATACACTTTTTCCGTTGCAAAGGCAAAGCATGGATCCCTGCTCACTAGTTACATAGGTGTATTTCTAGCACAGTTTCCTTCTTGTTACAGTAATGGGGGATGTTTCTTTTAACCTCTAGGTTACAACATATTGTTGTAACACATCTCAGCACTGTCTTGCTTTATTCGCTTCAGGTCAGAATGCAGATACAAAGACTGTTTTTCTCAGCTTGTCATTTTAATTAAAAAATAAATAAATAAATAAATAAAATTCTTGCATCCTCCATTGACTTCCAAATCATCATGTCGAGCATCAGCTCTATGTCTCTACATACGGAATGCTTAATGTCCCATCCCTATCCTATCTAACATCTTTTATTCATTATCAAGATATTGGTGCCAGACTATATTGTCCACCTACTAAATTTTCAGACAGTTCTTTATACTTTTTTCTAACCTGCTGTTCATGCTTAGGGGGAACTTCCAAAAATATTTGTAAAGCTATCTCCTTGTCCTCCTCCAGATTCCTCTTCAAATGCTCCTTTGCTGCGATGCCTACAAAAATGTGGCAATGGTTAGGCCTTGTCATATTCGCAGCTGTCAGGCTGATCAAAATGGCTTTGCTATTTCCTTGTATCCCTGTCTGCTTGTGTACATTTGATCCCTTTTGTGCGTTATGATTGTACCCTCCTTAGGACAGGAACTATATTTTGCTTTGTGCTGGGCAGACACGAATTGAAGGAGACCTGGCCTACAACTAGGGATCCTAAATGTTTGAAGTAAAACAAGGGAAATCATTTAAGCCTTAAACCTCAGGGGCTTTTATATAAGACATAGGTGAAATTTGAGGGCAGGCGGGTAGAGGACTTGGGCAAAGGGTCTGCAGGTGCCTGGTACAAATGGCTTTATGTAAACTAGAGGTGCACCAATATTTTGGTCCATGTCGGCTTGCCACCAATAAAAGGAAAATTGTCGTTATTGGCAATCTGCATTTTTGGCAGGTGTAGCTGATTAATGTCACTGATAAATGCTGCATGCATGTGTACAGCTGCAGCATGCATGCAGCCAGGAATGCAGCCCAGCAGCATAGAGAACAG